ACTGGTGGTTATTTCATTTATGTAAAAGATTTTGCTACTTCTTGTCAGGCAATTGTCCCCCAAAGTGCTTTACAATAAAACAGACATACAAGTCAATAATAACAAAAACCACCACCACAACAACAGGATTTTGCTTCCAACAAAAATACAAATAAAACAAAGCAAAAAACAAACAAACCATCACAGATTAAAAGCTTCCCAAAACAGGGCTGCCTTCAGATGTCTACGGAAATTTATATAGTTGTTTAACTCTTATAAAACACAACAGAAACCACCAGGCACTAAAAGAATCAGTTTCATAATCCTAAAAATAAATGGAAAAATGAAATCGCCGCATGCACATACCCCTCCCTTTAACCAGTACTTGATTTCTCTGGTAATGGATTCAGAAGCTGACGTATTAACCTGGGACACCTCAGGGCTTGAGAGATTTTCCCAGCACAGCAGTTGCAACCTGATGACAGAATTAAGACAAACGGGCCTTGCGTTCCCGTTTTCTTCCTCGTAATTAATTGGGATCCACCTTAGCGATATCAGTTTAACTACTGAAGAGCATCTGCTAAATGCATAGTATGTGGATGGAAAACAAACAATCACTGCCAGGTTTAGAGAGGAAAAGAGGGAAATGAATGAAGAGAGAGCACATGGACTCACGAGCTTTAGCAAGGTTCACAAAGAGAACCTAGTCTTAACTTTCTGAACCTAGGCTGAATAGTTCACACATTTAGTCTCGCCCATGCCAGGAAAGCACGGACCTGTGTCTAGAAATGCGAAGGAAAAGGTAAGCGTTGTTGTTGTTTAGTTGTGTCCGACTCTTTGTGACCCCATGGACCAGAGCACGCCAGGCACTCCTGTCTTCCACTACCTCCCGCAGTTTGGTCACACTCATGCTGGTAGCTTCGAGAACACTATCCAACCATCTCATCCTCTGTTGTCCCCTTCTCCTTGTGCCCTCCATCTTTCCCAACATCAGGGTCTTTTCCAGGGAGTCTTCTCTTCTCATGAGGTGGCCAAAGTATTGGAGTCTCAGCTTCAGGATCTGTCCTTCCAGTGAGCACTCAGAGTTGCTTTGACCAGAGAACTGGGGAAGGTGGTGGTAGAACAAGCAGAAGTTCTCAGCTTCAAGCCCCAGCATCTTCAGGTAGAACTAGCAAGGTCAACTTCCTGAAATCTCGATCAAAAAATCTCCTTTCCTGCAGGTGATGGTGGTGCAGAGGTAGTTATGAAGCCAACCTTAATCCTTTGTTTTGGACTCCCTAGAAACAAGCCTCTGATTTTGGGGCGATCATTTTATGGTAGCTTCAGTGAGTACATTGCTGCTTTCAGATGCATGTCTTCTTCATCATAGGTGTTACTTATCCAAAGCAGTCCTCTGAAATGTTCTCCCCCCGAAAAAAAAAGTGGATCTAGAATAAACCACAGAAATCAAAGCAGCTTTCCTCAAAGTGCTTTAGTTTTCTGATAGAATACCTAAATATTCCTATCCACAGGGCACAGCTACACCACAGAGTGAATGTTGTTTAACATTCCTTCTCCACAGAGAACTCTGAGGCCACTCAGGGAGGTCTAACTACAGTTCTTAGCACCTTCAGTGAACTATATTTCCCAGCATTACTGAGGGGTGGGAAAGAAGCCATGGCAGTTAAACTAATGAAAAACTGATAGAAGCTGGTCGTGAAGATGGGCCCACAGAATCAGGCATTGCTCTTTACTGTTAGACTCCCAACACCCTTTCTCGAGTCAGAAATATACTGCACAGATAATCAAAACCTACCAGGCAAGAGGAAGGACTTCAGAATGCCACAAAAGCACTGATCTAGTTACAGGTAGGTAGCTGTGTTGGTCTGCCGTAGTCAGAAAAAAAATAATTCCTTCCAGTAGCAACTTAGTTGGTCTCTAAGGAGCTACTGGAAGGATATTTGTTTGTTTGTTTCAACTATGGCAGACCAACACAGCTACCTACCTGTAACTAACTTTGTTGGTCTCTAAGGTGCTACTGGAAGGATTTTTTTGTTTTGTTTTGTTTCGACAAAAGCATTGAGTGTGTCTTCCGCACCGTAGCAGAGAAAATATAGCTTTCATTGAGATTTGCCCAGAAAGACGTTTGGACAAACACCATCAAGCAGCTGAGATCACTTCATTGGGGAAATGGCAGTTTCCTTGCCAAAATCTTAGGCCGTCTGCCTCCCAAGGATCAAATTCTCAGAACAGGGCTCAGCTTTCTAAATTACATTTCTGCCAGATGCTGCAGATCTTAACCACCTGAAGGAGTGCCCAACAGGCTTATGAAAACTTTTGATTCCTCTGCCTACTGAGTCATCTGCCATTCTGTTCTGTCACATCCTTTCTTTACCCAGGCAAGTTGCAGAAGTGCAGGTGGTCCCACAGGTAACAGAGCATACATGGCATGCATCCCTCTCAAGAAAGGATGTAGCTGAGTGGTACAGCAGCTGCTTTCTACGCACAAGGCCTCAGCTTCCATTCCCAGCATCTTCAGGCAGGGCCAGGGATGTTGCCTGCCTATGACACCACAAAGCCACTGCCAGAATAGTGAGCTTGATGGACCAATGCTCTGATTCAATATAAAGCAGCTTCTTTGGCCCCTATGATCGTGACCTGAAGCAGCAACCAGGACTCCAACACAAGCAGGGTCTGAATGGTTTTCCTCTTGATCAGCATATCCTCCAACATTTCTCCAATGGAAATAGGGGCATCCTATTTTTTATTTATCATCATCATCATCATCATCATTATCATCATTCCCCTCCCATCTTACTTGGGTGGTGCTGTGGTCTAAACCACTGAGCCTCTTGGGCTTGCCGACTGGAAGGTCATTGGTTCGAATCACCGCTCCTGTTGCTCTGTCCCAACTCCTGCCAGCCTAGCATTTCAAAAGCAAGCCAGTGCAAGTAGATAAATAGGTACCACTGTGGCTGGATGGTAAATGGTGTTTCCATGAGCTTTGGCTTCCATCACAGTGTTCTGTCGTGCCAGAAGCAGTTTAGTCATGCTGGCCACATGACCCGGAAAACTGCCTGTGGACAAATGCTGGCTCCCTTGACCTGAAAGTGAGATGAGCGCTACACCCCCCTAGTCACCTTTGATTGGACGTAACCATCCAGGGGTTCTTTACTTTTACCTTTTACCCATCTTACTGGGTTGCCCCAGCCACTCTGGGCAGCTTTCAACAAATATTTTTTATATATAAAACATTAAACATTAAACAAACTTCCCTATTCAGGGCTGCCTTCAGATGTCTTCTAGAGGTTGTATAGCTACTTATCTCCTTGGCTTGGGGGTCATGTAACTCCATATACCATCCAATATTTCTCCATTGAAAATGGGGATGTCCTAAGGGAAAACGGGACATTCGAGGATCCAATCAGAAACTGGGATGTCTTCTGTCCCTGGAAAATAGGGACACCTGGAGGGTCTGGGTGTCCCACCTGCCCTGCTCCTTTCCCAGGGAAAACCTGCTCTTTAGTGCTAAATTGGAGCAAACATCAATCTGGAGAAAAAGCACATTGCTGATTGCTCTGATTGAGTGCTAAAGAGCTGTTTTCCCCACAGGAAAGCAATAGATCAAGAGGAAGTATGGATAAGCCCTGGATCTGGAGGTGCAAGCCATGGAGTTGCAAAGTGCTTCACCCAACACTGAGCCTGCTAGGCAAGAGTCCCTTGAGCCTTAGGCACACATTCCACCCCTTCAAAGAATCTGGGGACTCCAGGGCCTGCTTGCCAGTACAGGCAGGGCCCAGAGCAGATGCTAACAGAGGGAGGATGGAGTGTTTGGCTCCAGACTTGGACAGGCTGCCCTTTTAAGGCTCTCCACTCATCAGGAAGGCTGCAGGACCCAAGAGAGAGAAAAGGCTCTAGATCTCAAGAGGCTTCAGATAACCTCAGAGGTACAATTCAGAGTTCCTTGTGAGGAGGGATTGATCATTAAACCAATCTGAAAATTGTAGCTTTGGGAGGGGGGAGGGGTCTCCGAACAACTCTCAGCACCCTATAGAAGCTACAGCTCCCAGGATGCTTTGGGGCAAGCCATGACTATTAAAATGGTATCTTACTGTTTTAAATGTAAGGTGCAAACATGGCCCTGCTTTGGGTTTTATTAGAACTCCAGAAACTACAAGCGAGAGAGACACTGATAGATTTGAAGAACAGAGGCAGGGTGCCTCTGAGCACATGCTAAGCCTAGGAAATTGCTTTCAGTAACAGAACTCAGCTACATTCACAGTCCATTTAAAATACATCGAGAGGGTCACAGGTTTCTCCACACCTGCTTTGAAACAATTGTGGGCTGTCTGCTTTGCACTCTGTTCCATAGCTTCCAGGCTGGCCCTCCCACTAGCTGCTGGGCGTAGGGGAATAAGTCATCTCTGTTCATCTGCTCTGCTTTCTTGGGGTACCTTAGCTCCTATTGAGACACATTGTTTGAATGTCAAGGGTTATCAATCATTTAAAATACAACACCAAACAGGCCATTAGAAGCATTGCCTCCAGATAACCCATACCACTATCTCTACTCAAGGACAACTTAAGAGCCAAGAATCACAGCAGCGGGTGTGATCACAGCAGTGATCCCAAGGGTACCAGTGTGTGTACTGGTTAGGGCAGGGGTTAGCAAACTTTTTCAGCAGGGGGCCGGTCCACTGTCCCTCAGATCTTGTGGGGGGCTGGACTATATTTTGGAAAAAATAATGAACGAATTCCTATGCCCCACAAATAACCCAGAGATGCATTTTAAATAAAAGGGCACATTCTACTCATGTAAAAACACGCTGATTCCCGGACCGTCAGTGGACCGGACTGAGAAGGCGATTGGGCCAGATCCAGCCCCCAGGCCTTAGTTTGCCTACCCATGGGTTAGGGTGTCATGCTAGGACCTGGGAGAGCAGGATTCAAATCCCCACTTGACTTGATCCAGAATCATAAAACTGAAGAGTTGGAAGGGATCACAAGGGTAATCCAGTCTACCCCCTTGCAATGCAGGAATATGCATCTCTCCCATACGGGGATCGAACCTGCAACCTTGGCGTTAACAGCACCACGCTCCAACCAACTGAGCTATCCGCTATGCATGGGTAGTGGAGAATTGTGTGCTCCACCTTGAGCTCCTTGGAGAAAAAGATGGGCTACAAATGCAATAAATAAATCAGACAGGCCAGCCCCTGCCCCCACAACTTATGTCATATACAGTGGTACCTCGGGTTAAGTACTTAATTCGTTCCGGAGGTCCGTTCTTAACCTGAAACTGTTCTTCACCCGAAGCACCACTTTAGCTAATGGGGCCTCCTGCTGCCACCACGCCGCCGGAGCATGATTTCTGTTCTCATCCTGAAGCAAAGTTCTTTTTTTTTTTTTTAATGATATTTATTGAGAATTTTAAGGTTACAAAGAAATAAGAAGGAAAAACCAAGAGGAAAAAAAAAGGAAAGAAAAAAGTAGATAAAAGTAACAATTAAACAATACAAATCAATAAAAACCAAAGTCAAAAAGAAAAAACAAAACACACAATACATCAAAATCAAAAAGCAAAAATAAACAAAAAATTTAAAAACAAATCCAATATTCCCAGATCCTTAACTGTCATTACCTTATTTCATCGACCTCCTCGCACCTCCCTTTTTTGTATTCTAGTTATTAATTATCTCAGCAAATCCTTTCCATCTTTCACAATATTCTGTCATTAAATTACCTTAATCTATTTCAACCTTATCTTACCATAAAAAGTCCTAAAACTTAAAACTTCTTAAAGATTTCTTATTTATACCAAATTCTCTTAGCCATTACATATTCTTACATAATTCTTTTTAACATTTCTGCTAAAGCCCAATAATTTCATTCCAACATTTTTCTAATAGTCATTAATTTTACAATACTTTTCTAAATGAATTTTTAAAACTTTCTTCCAATCTTCATCCATCGTCTCTTCTTCCTGGTCTCGGGTTTTGTCAGTCCTTTCTATCCCATCCATCTAGTCCATCAACCTGGTGACCTTATGTCCGAGGCTCTTAAGTCTCTTCCATGTCCCTTCCGCAAGTCTTCTTCATATTTATACCTGTACTTTACTTTGTCTTCTGCTCCTTTCACTCAGGGAGACTCCAGCTTGACAATATTTTTGTCCCTTCTCGACAAGTCAGCCCCTTTTCCATAGTCAACACCGAAATCCACGTGGTATTTGAAGGCATGTTTCAAGGCCCCTCCAAAGTTAAGGGCCCCCACAACTCCGAGCTCCCCCCAGCCCAAAGCCAGACTTGAAAAATCAAAACATCCCTGCATAGGGGGGTCCATCCAGCCCCCCATCTCCAAGCCAAACAGAACTCCATCTCTCCAAATCTCACTTTTTCCAGGTTCATTCGTCAAATCCAACAACTCATGTTCCTGCTGGGCCACAGCTCCCTCCATCTCTGCCACCCGGGGTCCAGCAACAGCCTCCTCCTTCATCTCATCTGTCAAAGCACATTCCTGGATTAATTCCTGAGTGGGTTCTATATAGGTACCCACTGTCTGTCCAAAATTTTCAATCGCAACAGTCATCAAATCCATCTTCTCATGTAACTGTTCCAATAAAGCACTTGTCTTGCAAAAGGCAAGCACCAGAGCCTCCGAGTACATTCTTGTTCAAGGTCGAAGTCTGGTCCCACGATCTTAATCTATTACAGCTGCAAAGCTCCGCAGTTCGGTTTTAATAACAGTTTCACAAGCTCCCTCTAGGGGAAACAATTTCTTTTTGTATCCATCCTTTTTTTTTTTTTTAAAGCAGATCTAGCAACAAAGTTTTCCTTTTTCAGATATTTTGTCAATATTTTGTTCCTTTTAAATGCGAAGGGGAACAATGGAATCAATATGTTTCTCTTCTTTTAACTATCTGTCAAAAACGTTTGTCCATAGTCAATGAACTTCCCCAGAACGTCTGTCCTGACACCCCGCTCCCAGGTTCAAGACGGTGGAAAATTGCCTTTCTTTACTCTCTCTTCTGCAGGTTTAAACAGTCTAAAAAAGGTCCCCCCCCCCTTCTCCTGCTTCCAAGGGGGGTTCAGTAATTTTAAATGATGAAATTTTGGTCCTTTACAGACGACTTTCTAGACTCTAGCTTGCCGTGTCTTTGCTTCAATCTATCTACAAAAAGCGGAAGGCGACTTCCTGATTAGACCTTCCCGCTTCAGTGCCAAATTAAAAAATTTCTTAATCCAATTTTCCGTTCTACTCACGGGCAGTTGTTTAAAATTCAATTGTCCACAGGAAAAAGTCAGCGCTCTCCGGCAACAGCAATGCGGCTTCACTCCGTGAAAGAAGCAGTCGATTCAAAGCACCGCGCCACTCACCCCACGTCGCTCCGGATCCCCGAAAACCGGGTAGGGGGGGCGCAAAGGTGCCAGCCGAATCCCACGTCCACAGGCTTCTCCCGCCTGTGGTTTTTGATGGGTCTCTGCCTCACCGTGGCGGTTCAGACCCTGTTTTCCACGGAGCGGATTCCTCCCGATCGGAGGAAATCCGCCATTGCCAGAGGCGCCAACCCAGAAGTCCTGAAGCAAAGTTCTTAACCCGAGGTACTATTTCTGGGTTAGTGGAGTCTGTAACCTGAAGCGTATGTAACCCGAGGTACCACTGTACTTTGGACTCAGCTAAATTAGTAAAAAAAAGTGTTTTGAATGTGTTATAAATATGCAACACCAGATGGTGCTGGGGTGTAAAAAAAAATCGATTTGATTTTCCATAACGTTTTTTTTTTTTGTTATAACGATTTAATTTCTGACTTATTTATAGAATTCCCTTGTAGATCCACCCAATGTTGATGCATTTGGCATTCCCCTATTCCTGTCAGCTGTTATGCAGATTACATCAGGGCATACCACTGCATCCTTACTCACTTACTCTCAAGACAAGAAGGAATAAAGGAAGTTGTCTTAAACAGACTTTTGGTCCGTCTACTATTGTGGATGCTGACTGACAGTGGCAGCCCAGGTACTGAGACAGGGGCCATTTCTGGCCCTACCTGGAGATGCTGTGAAATGGACCTGGAACCTTCTACACCCAAAGCATGTGCTCTGCTGCTGAGCTACAGCTCCCTCCCCTCACCCACCCTACCCCTAAATGCTAGGAAGCTGCCTTACATAGTTAGACTGTTGGTCCATCTAGGTTAGCACCGTTAACACTGACCGGCAGCAGCTTTCTGGGATTTCGGGAAGGGAATCTTTGCCAGCTCTACCTGGAGATGCCAGGGCTTGAAGCTGGAACCTTCTGCACGCCTAGCAGATGCTCCACCAATGAGCTGCTGCCTTTCCCATTGAAATAAACATTGCCAGCTGCCAACATTAATGTGAATATGCTAATCACATGTTGGCAGAGCAGGGGGGGGGGAATCAAGGTTTCCCGGGGGCCTCCTTGCATCGAATGGCATCAGCAGCCAACGTGACAGTTTGATTATCAAAAGCACCCTCCAGTCCTCTTTCCAGGGCACTAGTGTACCCTGGAACACCATTTAAGAACATAAGAAGAGCCTGCTGGATCAGGCCAATGGCCCACCTAGTCCAACATCCTGTTCTCTCAGCAGATGCCTGTGGGGAACCAGCAGGCAGGATTCGAGCGCAAGAACATTCTCCCCGCCTGTGGTTTCTAGCAACTGGCATTCAGAAGCCTTGCTGCCCCTAAATGTGGAGGCAGAGCACTGGCATTATGGTTAGTAGCCTCCAGTAGCTCTCTCCTCCACGAATTTGTCTAATCCAGTGGCATAGTGTGGGGCGGCCCACAGGGGTGGTTGCCATGGGTGCAAAATTTGTGAGAGGTGCAAAATTTCAACACCCAGTGCTGCCTCAATGCAGCTACGCGCTTCCATCGCTGGGCTCCATGCGAACCAAAAGGTGACCTCTCCAGACAACGGAAAAGCTCTTCCTTTCTTATCCCCGTGGTTGTGATCTCCTTGGTAACACAGATGCCTTAGGCAGTTGAATGTGCATATGTACTCTGTCCGTTTTCCCCCCTTCCACCCACTCTATCTCTATGTGGCCACAGGTGCTAGCAACCCATGCTATGCCACTGGTCTAATCCTCTTTTAAAGCCATCCAAGACAGAGGCCATCATTTAAAGCCATCATTGCCTCCTGTAGGAGGGAGTTCCGTACTTCATGAAGAAATAAGGGCAGCCCCTTTTATGCTGCTCTTGTATGTCCTGGGTGGGAACATACCCAGCATGTCCAATGGGTGAACTAGCCTGTTTTGCTGTTGCTTCATAGAAGCAGGACAGGTTGATGGGGAAAGAGAGAAGCAGAGAGTGTTTGGAGTATCCACTTACTACCTGAGGCTTCACAGAGACATAAGTGATGAAGGTCAAGTGCTTGGAGCTTCTGAAATGGGAAGTGCAGTGGTGGCTGTTGGCCATTGGAACTGGAAGGGCGGAAAACAGGGAAGCCAACTGTAGGTGGAGCTAGAGCCAATGACAGGTAGAGTCATAGAATCATAGAACTGTAGAGTTGGAAGGGACACCAAGGGACATCTAGTTCAACCCCCTGCAATGCAGAAATCTCAGCTAACACGTCCATCACAGACGGCCACCCAACCTCTGCTTGAAAACCTCCAATGAAGGGGAGTCCACAACTTCCTGAGGGAGACACCTTCCACTGTTCCAACAGCTCTTACTGTTGGAAAGTTGTTGTCCCCCATATGTTTGGTTGGAATCTCCTTTCTTTGTAACTTGAAGCCCTCGGTCCAAGTCTACCATCCAGAGCAGGAGAAAACAAGCTTGCTCCCTCTTCTGTGTGACAGCCCTTGAGATATTTGAAGGTGACTATTGTATGGGATGCGGGTGGCGCTGTGAGTTAAACCACAGAGCCTAGGACTTGCTGATCAGAAGGTTGGCGGTTTGAATCCCCGTGACGGGGTGAGCTCCCGTTGCTCGGTCCCTGCTCCTGCCAACCTAGCAGTTCAAAAGCATGTCAAAGTGCAAGTAGATAAATAGGTACTACTCTGGCGGGAAGGTAAACGGCATTTCTGTGCGCTGCTCTGGTTTGCCAGAAGCGGCTTAGTCATGCTGGCCACATGACCCGGAAGCTGTACGCCGGCTCCCTCGGCCAATAAAGCGAGATGAGTGCCGCAACCCCAGAGTCAGCCACGACTGGACCTGATGGTCAGGGGTCCCTTTACCTTTACCTATTGTATCTCCTCTCAGTCCCTTCTTTTGCAGGCTAAACGCATAGAGCTCCTTCAACCATTCCTCATAAGGTATGGTTTAGTCAACTATTAGTCAACCAATTCTAGGTTTGTTCTCATCCTGTTGAGTTCCACAACAGCAACTGAGACTAATGAGAAGGAAGCAGTGGCACCCCCTGGTGTGACTGTACAGGTAGGCAAGTGGAAGCTGGCTGACGTTAGTGAGGCACTTCTCAACTCACCCAAATGGACCAGCCTTCACTGTGGAGGTGATGCAAGAGGGAGAAACCATTATCCTCATCAGTGAACTTCACACAGATGGTTTTCCTGTGGCTGAACGTAGTTGATGTTCAGAGTTAACAAGGGTTGTATTGATTAATTCTGACCTCACACCCTGGCAACATCCCTAACTTGTAGAGCTGCAACAATGCCAACAGGATAGGTATTTGGCCATCTATGTGTGTGTTCTGGCTCTCATGCGTTGCTTTTTCTATGGCCTATGGATTACGTTTAAGTAGCACAACATGGTTGAAAGCCAAATTGTTAATTCCTTTGGCTGCCATCCTATGTCGATGGCTGGTACTTAAGTTGCACAGAACTCAAGGAAGCCTAACTGAGCCTGGGATTGAAGCCATCATGATTTGTAAAATTTTGGACTAAGTTCACCATGCTAAGAAGCTAGTGCTAAAAGTGAAGGAGAAGAAAAGAAGATTGTTCTTGGTGGGATCTTCTACACATGTTTTTATTTTGTTTTGTTTTAATTTTAATGCATTTATATTCTGCCTTTCTCCCAAATTAGGATTCAAGGCAGTTTCCAACATTTAGAAACATCATTATAAAATGCCAAGTAAGAACAACAAACTGGTCAAAAACAATAATTAGAATGCAACAGAACACATTCAGAAGCAGCAATGAAAATGCAGTTTGCCCTGACAGCAGCCCAGGGATTTGAACCTTAGTTTTCAAAGTTCTGCCTGATGGTGGTAGGATAGCAAAGGGGGACCCAATCTAACCTCTCTTGGGAAGGAATGGGTTGCCTTTAGCGTAACTTCTACTCAGAGTAGACCCATTGAAATTAGAGGACATGGCTAACTGTGGCTCTACCCTTAGTATAACTTAGCTGAATACACCCAACTGATTGACCTCTGAATGAAGCCAGACAGGATGTTATGTGGCACTTGCTACTACTTTAGGATTGTGGAAGCCATCATTCCAACAATCAGAGAATTTAGCCTGTGTGATTATGAAGTGTCCAGCTTACCTCTTGGTGAGATCTAGAGAGAAATGGCATATATATGCAGTGATGTGAGTGCAGGGGTCAAGCATTTCCAAAAACCCAAGAACCAGTTGTAGAGGACCTGCCATTGGCTGCAGGTTTCTTCTTTTGAGATGGCATTTGTGCAACCCATTCATCATCACGCCGACTGCACACTGAGCGCATTCAGCCACCAAAGCTAATGCATACCAAGCCACATCCTTGGTAATCAGCGCAGTCCTGGGGGAGCAATTTGCACCTATTCTTTGCTGTTTACAACTGTGGCCCGACAGTGTGTGTTTTGACCTGTGAAGCCCTAGCTGGCTGCCCGCCTGCCTCTGTATCAGCAGGGCTCAAAGTAGAACCTGTTATAAGAATTTTAAGGTCTTAAGTTATATAATAAATGTTCATAAATGTACCAAGCAAACACGTACATAAATATATAAACCACATGTCTGGAGCAGCACAGGAATACAGTCCTGAAACGATTTTGACTACCAAATTGACCAAATGTTTCTCTGCAAGGAGGGAGAGGGAACCTTCTCATTGTCTCAGGAATTAAAGGTAAAGGTAAAGGCAGTGGCGTAGTGTGGGGGGTGCAGGGGGGGCCGGCCGCACCGGGCGCAACATCTGGGGGTTAGGGTTAGGGGGCGCAAATCCATGGGTTAGGGGGCGCAAATCCACGGGTTAGGGGGCGCAAATCCACGGGTTAGGGGGCGCAAATTACTTGCCTTGCCCCAGGTACTGACAACCCACGGGTTAGGGGGCGCAAATCCACGGGTTAGGGGGCGCAAATTACTTGCCTTGCCCCAGGTGCTGACAACCCACGCTACGCCACTGGGTAAAGGGACCCCTGACCATTAGGTCTAGTCGTGGCTGACTCTGGGGTTGCGGTGCTGATCTTGCTTTATTGGCCGAGGGAGCCAGCGTACAGCTTCCGGGTCATGTGGCTAGCATGACTAAGCCGCTTCTGGCAAACCAGAGCAGCGCACAGAAACGCCGTTTACCTTCCCGCTGGAGCGGTACCTATTTATCTACTTGCACTTTGACATGCTTTCGAACTGCTAGGTTGGCAAGAGCAGGGACTGAGCAATGGGAGCTCACCCCGTCACGGGGATTTGAACCACCGACCTTCTGATCGGCAAGTCCTAGGCTCTGTGGTTTAACCCTCAGTGCCACCCGTGTCCCTGTCTCAGGAATTAAGTGATTACCATCTCAAAGGAATGGCCAGACTACCAGGCAGTTGTTTCGGCAACTTACTTGGGAATAAGCCCCAGTGAATTCAACAGGACTTACTTCTGAGTAGTTAAGATCTCCCTGTAAGTTGTCAAGACTGCTTTTGACTATGAGAAGCTCCTGGAAGCATCACCTTCCGACTACCAGCTCCCCCCATCATACCAGTGTGACAATAGTGGTTACAGCATCTTGCAATCCGTTTGGATGACAGGCAGCCTAGAAGCAGCCTAGTGAGGATGGCACATGTTCAGTGGGCATGGAAGGCTGACTGACTGCTGGGAGCAAACACAGAAAACATGGGGAGGGGAGCAGGGTTGTTGGAACAGCTGGAAATCTGAACAGGGACAAGTCTACACTGCACTGTTCTGTTGCATGTCTCACTGCTTTTATGGTAATTTTAATTGACTTAGTCATTTATATGGTTTCTGGGGAGGGGTTAATTAGAAAATGAAATTTTCTTTATATCATTCAACAGAACTACATCATATATAAAATATAACATAGATATTTTTAAAAAAACTGCAATACAGATATTGGTCAAGAAAAAATAGTAATACAGAACGTAAGTTGAGAGCAGCCATTGTGCTTATAACACGTCCTTGATAGCAATATATTTTCCTATTACAGTGGTACCTCAGGTTACATACGCTTCAGGTAACATACGCTTCAGGTTACATACGCTTCAGGTTACAGTCTCTGCTAATGCAGAAATAGTGCTTCAGGTTAAGAACTTTGCTTCAGGATGAGAACAGAAATTGCGCGGTGGCGGCGTGGCAGCAGCGGGAGGCCCCATTAGCTAAAGTGGTGCTTCAGGTTAAGAACAGTTTCAGGTTAAGTACGGACCTCCGGAACAAATTAAGTACTTAACCTGAGGTACCACTGTATATAGCCAATTTTAGATAAGCACAAACAAAACATAGGCTAGGACTTTTCCTGCAATTTTGTGTTCCAATGATATACGCAAACTCCACTTCTCAGTTAATTTCTTTGTCCTAATTTACTCTGATTATAGTAAATAAGTTGTGTTAGTGAAACTGTATCCGAACCCAGCAACCTCAGTTTACCCTCACCTACGGTCTTACTTACAACCAGTCAAGGGGTGGTTCTGCCTGCCATTGGCTCTGGCGCCACCTAGTGTTGGCCTCCCTTCCTGCCTTCTGCCCTACCAGTCTCAAAGGGCACCAGCCACCAGCGATTCAGAAATAATACCACTTCTGAACTTGGAATCTGCATTGTCAAAGAAGGACAGAACTTTTTTTATGTATGCCACAACAGCAGCAAGAATACTCATTGCAAAGTATTGGAAGACACAAGATTTACCCACTCTGGAAGAATGGCAGATGAAGGTGATGGACTATATGGAACTGGCAGAAATGACTGGCAGAATCCGAGACCAGGGAGAAGAGTCGGTGGAAGAAGATTGGAAGAAATTTAAAGCCTATTTACAGAAATATTGTAAAATTAATGAATGTTAGAATGATGTTGGATAGAAAGTAAGTGGTTTCTAGCTGTAATACTATAAGGGAATATGAAAAATGGATTACTAACAGGTAAAAATTTAACGTTACAATACTTTAAGATTAAAGACTTGGATAAACAAAGAGGGGAAGGATTTGCTGAACCACAAACCGAACTGGAATACAAAAAAGGGAGGCGTGAGGAGGTCCGGGAAATAAGCCAATGAAAAATAAGTAATGGAAAGATTGAGTTGTTTTTAACTATTTTTATTTTGTATTTTTCTTTTTTTTTCTTTTTATTTTGTAATATTTTGAAATTTTCAATAAATATCTTATAAAAAAAAATGAACTTGGAATCTGCATAAGCTATTGCTGACAGCCATGGAATTTCCTAAAAGCTGGTACAGTACTGCTTTAGAATTTGCAGCCAAGACTTTTGAGACTTGGGCCAGCAATATTACTTTATTATTATTTAAAAAATGGGGAGGAGAAAAGGCATAGCTCCCCCATCTTAGCTAGTTCAGGGCGACTTTGCTACTTCTTCCACCTTTTTGGATTCCAGCTCAAAAAAAAAATATGAAAAGAAGAAAAAAAGGGGAGACTGAAAGAAGCTATTGGGCGCAAAGGCTAGGCAGGTAGAGAAGTCACCTAGAGTCCTTGTCATATACTGTAAAGCTGTGATCCTCCTGCTTGTGGAAGAGAGAAAACAGGAGAAAGGTCGGTGGTTACAGCATCCACCTTGAATGCAGAAGGTTCCCAGTTCAGTCCCTGGCATATCCAGATAAGACTGGGAGAGATTCTTGTCTGAAACCCTGGAGAGCCGCGTCTGAAATCATAGAGAGCCGCTGCCAGTCAGTGCAGATAACACTGAGCTAGATGAAGGTCCGTATAGTTAAAGCTGTGGTTTTCCCAGTAGTGATGTATGGAAGTGAGAGCTGGACCATAAAGAAGGCTGATCACCAAAGAATTGACGCTTTTGAATTATGGTGCTGGAGGAGACTCTTGAGAGTCCCATGGACTGCAAGAAGATCAAACCTCTCCATTCTTAAGGAAATCAGCCCTGAGTGCTCACTGGAAGGACAGATCCTGAAGCTGAGGCTCCAATACTTTGGCCACCTCATGAGAAGAGAAGACTCCCTGGAAAAGACCCTGATGCTGGGAAAGATGGAGGACACAAGGAGAAGGGGACGACAGAGGACAAGATGGTTGGACAGTGTTCTGGAAGCTACCAGCATGAGTTTGACCAAACTGCGGGAGGCAGTGGAAGACAGAAGTGCCTGGAGTGCTCTGGTCCATGGGGTCACGAAGAGTCGGACACGACTGAACGACTAAACAACAACAACAACAAACAGATAGAGCAGTGGTCTTCCTTTGTATAAGGCAGCTCCTGTATTCTTAAATATCTCAGCTGAAGGGCCATAGATCAGCAACAGAGCACCTTCCTTGCATGCAAATAGATGGCCCCAGGTTCAAGCCCAGGCATCTGCAGGTAGGGTTGGGAGAAAGCGGAAGGGCTTAGAGAAGCAGAGTGCTGTAGTGGTTAGAATGTCAGACTAAGGACTGGAAGCCTGGGGTTCGAATCCCCACTTGGCCATGAATCTCGCTAAGTTGACCTGGGGGCCAATCACCGCCTCTCAGCCTAGCCTACATCGCAGGGTTGTTGCGGGGATTAAATGAGGAAGGGGGAAACCATGTCTACCACCTTGAGCTCCTTGGAGGAAAGGGTGGTCTAGAAAGGCAATAACAGACCCTACAAGTGTCCCTGTTCCAGACTTCCAGAAGCCATCCTGGTTTCTGATTTGATCCCGGAACATTCCGCTTTTCCTTAGGATGTCTGAATTTTCATCAGAGAAATGTTGGGAGGGTATGGAGTTATGCATCCCCCGAGCCAAGGAGTTAAGTAACGATACAGTTGTACCTTGATTCTCAAAGGGAATCCATTCCGGAAGTCTGTTCGACTTCTGAAAACGTTCAAAAACCAAGGCGCGGCTTCCAATTGGCTGCAGGAGCTTCCTGCACTGAATTGGAAACAGCGTCGGATGTTTGGCTTCCAAAACACGTTTGGGAGCCAAAACGTACGAGTACCAAGGTGTTCAACAACCAAGGTACGGTTGTACAACCTTTAGAAGACATCTGTATAGGGAAGTTTTTTTAAATTTTTTTATGTTTTTATGTATGTTGGAAGCTGCCCAGAGTGGCTGGGGCAACTCAGTCAACTGCACGGGGTAATAATAATAATAATAATAGTACTACAGGGTGTCCCTATTTTCATTGGAGAAATGTTGGGAGTTCATGGAAACGCAATAAACAAAAACCTTCCCCGAGCCCCGCAGTGCCACTACCTGCGCTAGAGGGCGCAGTGCTCGGCTTGACTGCATGAAGCAGCTTTTGCCATGAGACTCCCTTCCATCCTTCCAGCCCTTTTTTGCAGAGGAGGACAACCTCGCCTTCCTCAACGCTGCAAAATGTCCGCTCTGGAAGGGGAGAGCGCGGCGCATGCGCGCCCGCACCTGGCCCTTTGCGGAGCCGCGTTGCCATGGCCGCGCGCCGGGGGTCTTTTGTTCTGAAGTGGGTTTTTTCTCTCTCTCTCTCTCTCTCTCTCTCTCTCTCTCTCTCTCTCCCCGCCCCCTTGAGGATGACGTCATGGGCGTCCGCGGCGGTGACGGGGCCACCTGTGGGTTGAGCGAGGCTTTAAAGAGACAGGCTCCGGCCGGGGAACAGGAGACCTGGCTATTGTCTCTGCATCTGAGGAGGAGAGAGGGGGAAATTCTCCCTGACGGAGCCAGTCGTGCTCTCGTTTCACCCACACCCTGCACGCCCAGAAGCTTGATTCAGGCAGCCCGGGTTGCACACGCGCTGAACTCGCGTGTACAAGGAACGCAGAGCATCCTTTACACGCGCGCGCAACACACACATGCACACACGCAGAAGAATCCCTTGTGCGAAAAAAAAGGCTGCCTCCATCAGTGGCAGCTCTGTGCCCGAAAAAAAAACCCCTTCCTGGAGGCCGCGGGAATGAATGTTGTGATTCATTCATTCCGTTGCAATTCATTCATCCGCCCCAGAGAGGTGAAACTGGAGGTAAGATCTCTAAATTTATTCTCTCTCTCGCTCTCTGTCTCTTCTCCCGTTTTTCCTCTCGCCTCCTTCCTCTGTACTGGATGGTGGCAAGGTGATCTCCCCAAATCTAGGAGCAGAACGTGGAAAGAAAAAGAAAATGTTTTCTTTCGCGCGCGCCTGTGTTTTAAGCTGTGTGTCTTTGAGGAGACTATTCCGTCTGGTTCAAACAGAGAAGGCATTCAACAGGTAGGGTAGCTCTGAAGTATTGTTCTCTGAGCTCTTGAGCTAACACCCATTTCCCATCTTCTACACCCTGGGAGGCTCCTTAAAAATCTTTTTAATACTGTGCAATATGGACAATTTTGTTTTTCAAATGCAGTATAAGAAAAAGAGAGGTGGAAAAATCTTAGAAATATAGAATATATTTTCTTTTGTAGGTGGGGTGGAGTGTGTGTGTGTGGTGGTGGATTTGTATAGGGTCCCACCGATCTTCTTGAACTATTTGTAAGCCACTAGCCATCATAGCGAATGGAAGCTCTCTGCACAGGGCATTGACTGCATGCTTGTGATGAGTAGCAGGTGCCTGGCACAAAATCAACAGGAGAGAAGTTAAGAATGGAGGAAGCTAGCCGTCCTACTGAGTCAGACCGCAGATCTGTCTAGCTCAGTATTGTCTGCTCTGCATTGGCGGGCAGCATGTGTCTAGGATATCAGGCAGGAGTCTCTCCCAGCCCTACCAGGAGTTGTCGGGGGACTGAACCTGGGACCCTTGGCATGCAAAGCAGATGCTATGTCACTGCATTAGGGGGAGAAGTTGTTTGTCTTCCCTCCATGCTCTGCTTGTGAGAACCCAGTGTGGCTTCTGGCTGGCGAGGGTTGGAGTACCAGATGGAACCCCTTGGTCTGATCCTCTAGATCTCTCTTTGTGATCCCCTTGAATCCTACTGACGAAGTCAGCTTGGCAGCGAAGAACACTGTCCTCCCGGTCTCCAGTTCCGAGACTGATCTCCAAAGTTTCTCATGGAAGCAGGAGACCATCAGAAACCACCCCATCCCCAGATCCCTCACCTCCTAAGGAACATAGGAAGCTGAATTATTCAGAGTCTGACTGTTGGTCCAGCTAGCCCAATATTGTCGACACTGACTGGAAGTGGCTCCCTGGGCTTTCAGCCCTACCTAGGGATGCTGGGGATTGAACTTGAGGGATTGAACTGCATATAGCACAGATGCTCTGCCACTAGGATAAGCTGGGTTTTTTGTTTGCAGTTACTCTATAGACCTTGAGGCCTTGGGGATCCTGGCTAATAAGTTACCCCTATTCCTCCCTTGGCTTTGTTGGGCTTCTCCATTATTCTTTTGCCCCTCTCCTTTCTATGACATTATTTTTCTATCCTGTTAATTTTTTAAAATGCTTACATTCTTGTTGAGCCAACTTATGGATCTTGAAGGATGGATATGCAGAGTGTGAAAGGTTTTTTAAAAGTAGAGTGCTCTCCGCCCTCAGTCACTACTGTGGAATCTGGGCATCAGGGTCATTTCCTTCTCTGGCTTCCTCTTTCTGATATATCTGAACTTCACTTCCTTGTTTAATAAGCCTTCCTGCATTGATTACGTTTCTTCCCTCCCTGTTTATTTTATTAGTATTTCCAGATGTCTCTCTGTCAATGCAAGCTTAGCTTTATGGTAAGAAGGCACCCTCAGCTATGCCTTTGATGGTAGCCAAGCTGACTCCTATCTCCTTTTGCTAATGTCCTAAGCTTCTCCCACCCCCCTTTTGCTTTCTTTCACCATGCATTTAATTTAGGTTTCCAACCTCCCCTCTTCTCCCCTTTTTCTCTTTGGAGATCCAAGCTATTAATGACACTGCAGGATCCTCTCTTTGCAAAAAGGGCAAATTGCCCTTTGCAGAACTTGTTGAGTGCTAATAATAGGATTCTGCAAACTCTTGATTGTGTTATCGGGCTTTAATCTAATCTTTGAAGCTCTCTCTTTTTTCATTTCCTTGGGGCTTCAGTCTCTCCCCCCCCCATCCCCACTTTACAAGAGGGGAGAAATGGTTTCTTTTGAATTCTCTGTAGTGCAAATTGAATTGGAGAACAATCGCACCCTGGGAGCTAACAAAGGGGCTTCATTGGATGTCACTGTCATCCCCAATTATCTGATTGCTGTTTGTCAAATGGTTGCTGCAGCGGAGAATTCCAGCCCAGGCTTTTGATTTTCTGCATTAACGGAAATTAGAGCTATCACTGTTCTATTTTCTTTCCTTAATGCCAACCTGAGAGAAGTGCAGCTCTGATCACAGAGAAGCCAGCCATTGGTCCCAAAACAACAGAGCCTTAAAACATGCATTTAGAGGCTAAATGCAGAACCACTGAATTTTAGCAATGAAAGGAACTTCAGGGATTCGTCCTTTCCCCAGTGCAGGACACCCAAACAGAAGTGGACTTTTCAGAAAGGAGAATATTGGTGTCTAGAGTTTGGATGGTGGGTGAAACCTTGTGATCTGATTCTTAAAAAAAAATAAAATTCCCCAAATTCTCCACTTCTGTTCACTTGTTTGTTTGTTTGATTTTGCTTTGCCGTTGTTGTTATTTTGTTTAAGTTTTCCCAGATGGTCAGATGAAAGGGGGAATAAATTGTTGTAGCTGATGAACTTTGCATGATCTGGAAGTCATCTCTCCTGCAGTGCCATTGTTAAATAATTTAAAAAGTGGGTATGAGATGCTTTTGTGTTGGTAGTGTTTGCATAATAATAGCCAATTTCAATAGAAGGGAGGAACCAAAACACTTGTTGATGATATGCCTAATATTTCTAACTGGATTAGATTAGAACGGTCTGGAAAACAGCCATGTAGGGCAGGTTAAACATTTGGGTTAGTGCCAGCCTCGCCACTGGGAACAGCTTCTTGGAAGAATGCGGTCTCCAGCGCGGAAGTAGCTTTCAGAACCAGGTCCTTGGACAGCTCCCTCCTGAACAAAATACACAATGGGCTCAGCCAAAGTTCTGTTTGTCCCATGATTTCTCGGCTCAGGTTTGAGAGGTTTGCCTTTGCTGCTTCCCCGGGAAAACCTCTTGTTTTGCTGTTGAATCAGAACTTCAATCCTTAGAAAACCCGACTGACGACTGCTCTGATTCATCCGTAAACAGAAGGTTTTCCCAGGGAAAGTGGCAGGGCAAAACTAAAACCTCCCATAGCTGTGCCTAGAAATCATGGGGCAAAGGGGAAATAAACCCTGAGAAGCTTCTGAAGTCTTTGGTCTCCAGTGCTGAAGTGGCTTTCAGCACTAGGGTCATGGACAGCTCCCTTCTAAGCAAGAGGCGCTGCTGCGCCTGAAGTGTTTGCACACTGAAGTCTTTGTCTGTGCAACCAGGAAAACTCTGGAAGGAGATTCTAGAGACACCACACCTCATCTCTCTCTGTATATATAGAATTGTGCCCAGTTTTGTTGGTTTTGTTTCTTTGCCTTAAATTTATTGGAGGCTTGTTGGGCGTCGACTCGTGGAGCTGCATTTTCTCTTGCCAGGGAGCAGAG